CCATCGCGCGCGCAGATGGGAACGGTCGGGATTCAGGGCTCGCCTCAGCGGCCAGAAGAGATGTCGACGCTTCGGACGCGCCAGACCGCCGCGCCCCGCGAGTGACGGGAAGAGTTGTTGACAGCATCAGGTTGCGGCGCGTCAAACATGTTCTCTCCGCCGGGAGTCCGCAGATTGACGCGCGCGCGGCGTCTGTATGTGCCCAGAGGTGCCAAATCGACAGCCGGGTCGCGGACGCTGCCATCGGACTATTGACGGGCAGAGCGCCAGCAGTTACCGAAAACGGATTCCAACGCCGATCGGGATGCACGTTCTAAGCACTTGGCCGCGTTGGCCCAACCCTGTTTCCACATGGGCGCAGCCAGTCGAATCGCATCCGGTTGACCGATATTCACGACGCCGCACGTCAAAGGACTGCGTTTGTTTGGGGTGGACATGTACGAAGAGACTCCCATGCCGATGTGCCCCAGGGATAAGATCAAACACGCGTTCGAAGTGTCAGTTCTTGTCGATGTGGTCAGTGATCCCACGGGTTCGCGGTCGGGCGGAGTCTTCGCCTTTGGAGAAACTGGCCCTGCAAAGCCGTTCCAAACTGAGGCGCGCGATGGGGGCGTTGGCAGCAATGCGTTGCATGGCGCTTGGAAGATCGTCTTCTTCATCGAGCGAGGCCCTTCTCATCTGCAGCGCTTCGACGGAGCGGGCGAAGCGATTCGCCGAGGACTCCGGCGCGCGCGGGCCACAAACGGCCTCTTAGAGCCCTAGAGGGACACGACGACCGACGTTGCAGAGGATCGCGCCGTGGCGGAGGAGGCGCCAAGTGAGCTGCCGAAGGAGGAATGCGAAACCAATACCGACCATGCTGGCAACGCAGACATCAGGATTGCCACGCATATCTCGGGGCCCTCGTGTTCGGCAGAACGTTATTACAAGGGGTGTGATGTCGCAGGCATGTTCAGAGCTGCGCTGGCGCTTGAGCTGGCAGGCGCCGCGGCGAATTTCAGGAAGGATGAGGCCCACGACTCGTCTCATCGTTGCCGAGCCAGACCCCGAGCGCGCAGCCCACGCGAAGCGGGTCTTGGCAATTCATGGACGCGCGGGGCATTTTCTCACAGAGCGGCCCGCGATTGCACGTATGCTTTTACATTTCGATTGGCGAAAGCGCAATTCTGCATGCAGGTATTGTCCACGCCTTCACATCGATAGGAATGAAGGGGAAGCGTGGACCTCTCGCGTCGACTCAGGGCTTGCATTCGCCGCGCGCCTGCGGCAGTTGAAGAAATATGGAGGGGGGACTTCGGCAGGGAAATGGCAGTCGGCCAGCTCGGATTGCTGGAGCACTGCAATGGCCTGTTCACCAGCATAACCAAACGATTGGTTTCAGAGTTTGACAGTGGATCCAAGGCGAAGGCTGACCAAGCCTCGGGCGACGTTCCCCGATGGCCGCCCGCGTGTCATTTCCATTTGAGGACGTCGGCACAGCGCTGCCCATTGCCGACGACCCCGCGGCGCGCCGCGGCAGGCGCGGGCTGGCGAGGGAGCTCATGGGGATGACGGCGACGCTGGAGATGATCTACACGGCGCATCTGCTGGCGACGCCCAGGCGGGTGGAGCCGCCGACGGCGCGACGACGTCCCAGGAGAAGGTCAACCTCGCTCATCGCCAGACGCCGGCCGCTCTCGCGCCCGAGGAGCCCCTTGAAGAACGCCATGCGCATTCTCAGTGTGCCCATCATGGAGATGTTCATGGAGTTCGACGGGCTCGGCGGACGCGAGCGGGGGCGCCGCCGGCAGGCAGTTCAGGCAGACGCACTTCGGTCAGGACTCGCTGAACACCGAATGGCGAGCCAAGGGGTGACTTCTTCTCTGTAGCCCTCCAGAGGACCCCGCGGATTTCCGGAGCGACGCTGGGGAAACCCATGTTGTCCCATGGGGCGCGTTTGCCAGATTTGGACTACAAAAACAATCACCGCTAGATCGGGGTCCTTTCGATGCCCGGCACTAAGGAATTGGCGCGGATCCCCCGCGGCGGCTTGCAGCGCGCGCCGAGTCGTGGTTTGCGCGAGAGGCGCGATGGATGCTGAGGGGTTCCGCAGGCTGGCGTTCTTGACGCAATCGGATATAATGTGGAGCACGATCACAGATTAATCCCTCGCGGAGGTTCTCAATATTCCAGCCCTCGCAACGTTGCCCGCAGATGGGGCAAGACTAAGAACTAGCCCGGCTGCATCGGGGACCCCATTTTCGCAGCAGTTCAAACCTGATAACCCTACTTCGACGTCGAGGGAGACCAGGGCCATGTTGATGTGCGCACGGCGCTGTTGCGGATCCCGAGCGCTGCGAGTGTCGGGGCGCTGCGCTTGTCCATCGGGCAGATGCCATGACAAGGTTCAATTGGCCAGCCTCCTCGATGCATCTTCAAGCTTCTCGCCGAAGCGCCTGAGGACGCGCGGGAAGAGGCCGGTCATGGGGAGGGGCAGCGGCGATGTGCCAGACGTCGCCGTCCGCGACTTTGCCGGTCTAGCGTCGGCCTAGGATCCGCGGCGGCAGCGGCGGGGCATGGGGGGCTTCCGCGTCGAAGACGAGCGCTGGCCAGGTCGCAGATTTCTACGCGCTGGCCTGCGACAGCAGACATGTACTATACGGAGAACGAGACCGCGAGCATGCATGTGGCAGGACTTCAGGGCCCGTTGGCCGAGACATTGACAGAGGCGCCGAACGGCCCCGCGAACGATCCCCGATTGACGCCATCCTCAGGCCTTTGTGGGAAGCAGATGGTCCGACTCGCATCAGCAACGCGGCAACGCAAGTTGCGGCGCAGAGCACGTCTTGGCGCGGCGCTGACATGATTGCCAGGTATGCCAAGCATGCGCTGGGGAGTTTGCGATCACGGGAGTCGGCGAAGGAAGACTCATGGAGCTCGCGCGGAGCGCAGGGAAGGAACTCATCGGTGCCCTGGCGTCCACATGTGCATCGCCAATTGCATCTCTGGCACTGGGTCGCTGCATCCCGCGCCCGAGCAGCAACGACATGCCTTTGTTTGCGTGCGACGCCGGCATTATGAGCAGATCTTCGAACGCATTAGCACGCGTTGCTTGCCATCGGAACTTAAGGGGGGCACGCCGTTAGCAAGCTGGCGGAGGTGGAGGCCCGCGAGCGCTACTTCATGATCAACCACAGCGATCGCTAGCTCGACCTTCAGGGGACCAAGCAACAGCATCGGGAGAAGAGGCGCTGGCTTGCAGCTCGTTGCTTGTGTTCGGCTGAAAGAAAATTGTTGTGGAAGTTCAGAGGCAGGCTACTGGATATGATGAAACGGATGACTAATGAGTTGGATGTGGAACGCAGCGTGGTGGATTGGTATTGGTTTATCGCACTCTTGTTTTCAGATGCTCGCGATGGTGGCCTCACAGGTCCAAGTTACCCGCTGGCCTTGGGAGGGTGACTGAGCTGTGGCGCCTTGCGGCGTTGTCCTTGAATCCGTACGTGCCCACCTTTCAGACGATGCTCAGCACTGGTCTCCCTACTGGTGATGATGCACCTGCGGGTTTTGACCCACCTAGCACTGGAATGGAGCATTGATGGGGGGAACCTGATCAGTCAGGCGCCCCGAGTCGTATCGGTGATCCAGTCAGCCAGTCTAGGAAATCGGTTCCAGTTCCCACGTTCTCACGGCCAGCTTGATAAGTGTGTGTCGCGTTCTGGTTGCGCTGGAGTGGTTGCATTGCGGCTCGATTCCATTGCAGTGCGTCTTGCCGTCGCAGTAGTCTTTTGTATGCACGGGGATGGGGGGAGTCCTCCCTCTCCACGTTTTACCATTCCGTCCCTTCCCCTGCCCTTGGCTGGCTGATAACGCGGAATTGGGTGGGGGGGGCAGCAGCGGGTGGAACGTCACGCTTGCACGTATGTGTGCTTGCATTAGATCGCGCGCATTCGCCCTAACCCGTGGAGTCTGTGAGCTGGGAATCACGACGCAACGACGGTGACAAGGGCTGTTCCCATAGGCCCCTGGCATTGCAACGACCACCAAAATCGAAGCCAGGGAGGAGGAGAAGGAGGAGGAAGAGGAGTAGGAGCAATGGCAGGAGCAGGATAACGAGTAGTGATCAGCAGGTTGAGGAGGTAGGACGACAGAGGGAGGGAGCAATGATGCGAAGGAGGAGGAGGAGGAGGAAAGTAAAGGAAGAAGGAGGACGTGAAAGGTAATGATATGCTGGAAGGGGGGGGGCGTTTCCGCTAGCTCATTCGCCTCCTTCTATACACCGAAGATGGCCTCAAGACTTCCCCAGTGAGGAGGATCCCAAACAATAGAGGAGCATCCATCGTACTCCTGAGGAGTTCCCAAGAGACCCCTCTTTGCTCGGTCCGCGCTCTTGTGCTTTACCCAAACGATGTTGGAACTTTTCGTGGGTCTGCTTCTCTGTTTGCTTCTCTGCCCGCTTGCTGCTGTTGTTGCCCCCATCCCTCTCAGCGCCCCCTCCCTGCGTCCACCCGAGCACAGACATGCAGGATGCTCCGATGTCGGTCCAAATTCTGCCGCAGCATACCCAGGAGTGGAGTTGCTGAGCCTGTCCTCTGCTCCCCCTTACTGTTGCCGGGGGCCGCTCCTCGCCCTTCTCCTCCTGTCTGCACTGCAGCGCCGCAGCCTTGCACGCGCTGGCCCGCGAAGGCGGCCGGGAGCGGCCATCCGAGGCCTGTTTCCCCCGTGGTCTGTGTCGTAACGCCAAGCTGCGCTCACAGCCGGCTTTCATGATCAACCACGTGGGGTTTGCGCTGTTCGTGGGTATCTAGTTGCATGCGTGCGGCTGTGAGCTTGTCAGTGGCTGGGCTTGGTAGAGCCTCGGCGCGCGCGAAGCGCGCGCGTGGTTCTGGCTGCATCTATCCCGCGAAGGCCTCCCAGGAGCGGCATCCCTAACTCCTGCTGTTGCTCCTGCCCCCCCCGCTCCCTCCCCCTGCCCCACCCCCTCCCTCTCCCCCCTCCCTCTCCCTCCCTCGCGCCCCGAGGTGATGGCGCGCGCGGTGGCGTCCCGAGGCCGCCGCAGCAGCAGCGAATCGAAGAGGGGGCAAGGATCGGGCGAGGATCGAGGGAGGAGGGCGGAGGAGGAGGAGGAGGAGGAGGAGGAGGAGGAGGAGGAGGAGGAGGAGGACCAGTGGAAATCCAAGAGTCATCAACGATGTTTGAATTAACCCTCCCTCCAAGCTCCCTCTTCTTCATAGGCCCCTACAACGGTTCATTTCCATTGGGGGAACTGCCTCTTTGGAAGACAACAGTTTGAAGATCCTGAAGCGTGCCAAAACATTGTTCTCAGCATTTCGACGCCACGTATCAACCTGACTGGTGCGTCTTGACGATCCAAAATCGTGCCAGGACGCCATTTGTCGGATTTCAACACAGCGAATCAGCATAATTGCTGCGCCCGCGTAATCCTGAATCCTTCCGAAACACCACTTCTGTGACGTTGATCATGGGAATCCGTGAAACTCCTGCACAGGGTTAAAACGAATGTGCGGCGTGAAAGCCACCCGCCCTCAATCCGTGAAACTCTTGCACATGTTCAAAAATAATGCGCGCGGCGCTAAGGCGAGAGCCATAATTTGAAAACCACCCGCCCTCAATCCGTGAAATTCTTGCCATTGTTTTAAACGAATGTGCGCGGCGCTAAGGGGAGAGCCACATTTTGAAAACGACCCCCCTCCATCTGTGAAGCTGCTGTCACTTTTTAAGCTTCAGAGTCATAAGTGGTGGGGAAGTCTCAGGCGAAACGCCCGGGAACTGTCCTCGGGGTGCGACAGGGAGAAGTTATCCATAAGGAAAAGGAATGGAGGAGGAGGAGGAGGAGGAGGAGGAGGAGGAGGCGGTGGAGGAGGGGGCTTCCAGCGGGTGCGGGGAGGAGGGCCCACGCACGCTGGGTGCCGCGCAGCGGATCGACGGCGCGCCCAGGGGTCCTCCCCCTCCTGTTCCTCCTCGTCCCCCTCCTCATCCTCCTCCTCCTCCTCCTCGTCCTCCTCCTTCTCCACCTCCTCACGCAGAGAGTCACGCGATCGCAAACACGGATCAAGGAGGCGTGAATTAGCGACGGGCCCCGTTTCCATGGGAAATCGCGGATTCCCGCCGCCGAGCGATGCGGCGCCGGCCGCATTTTGGGGAGGGCACCTCCCCCGATCCATGGATTTGGCGACCGCGCGCCAAATCCATGGATCGCCACTCCACGCTTGCGCGCCCCCGCGAGAAGGCGGGCCTTCTCGGAAGGCTCAGAAGCTTAGCTGCCCCGGTGCGCCCGCTTTGCAGCGCGGCGCGTGCCGCGCGTGCCGTGTCCAAGACGTCCATGCTGACACGCTGCGTGCTGGCTCGGCACGTGGTGGGCAAAAAACACACACACAAAACAAAAAAACACAAAAAAACACTGTGGAAAAACACACACACACACACACACACGTCTGTGGAAAAAAACACACTGTGGAAAAAACTCTCAACAAAAACAAACTGTGGAAAAAACAAACACACACACACACACACACGTGTGTTTGTGTGTTTTTTCCACAGACTTTTTAGCGTCCGCATCGCGCCAGACCCACTTGCGGTTTCAGTCTCGGGGCAGCAAAGCTCAGAAGGCCTCCGGTCTTCCTTCAAAGGCATGTGGCCGAACAATAAGATCGGTGACCACCATGTGCCGGGAATTGTGACCGAACACGTAGTGTGACCGAACTTGTGACCGGAATTGAAACCCGCTCCGGCTTCGAGTCAAGAATTTCCGTAACGTTCTGGCGCGTTCGAAGGCATTCGGGCGCCAGAGTCGGTCACAGTCGGGCAGATTTTCGGGCACAGTTTCGGTCACTGCACCTCCCTTCTAGAGACGAGGCTGCGCGAGGATTCTGAGAAGCCGCGCTTCCCTCGTCGGCGCGCCGCCGAGATGGGGCTGCCACCCTGGCGTGAGCACCTCGGGGGCACTCTCTTCCGAGCGCGCTCGCGTCCGTGGTCGCAGTGCGGCGCCGGAGCTGGACCCAAGAGTCCTCGGGCGAGGGCTTCGTGAGATTGGCAGGGGGCTGCCCTGACTCCGGATGCACCGTGCTTCGGGCGATGTTGCAGTGCGGCGGAAATGTCCGTCCCACCTGTCAAGCTCCTCTGATGTCGACTTCCGCCCTGCTTTGCCACCAATGTTTCCGCCATGTGTTTGCGGTTTTCTGAGGCTGAAATTGTTGCCCTACTTTTGCTTGCATCCGGTGTGCATCTCCGACACAAGGTTCCGTCGGAGTGTCAACCGAAGTACGGCGGATCTGGAGTCGGGCTGCTCGGCGGGCGCTGCCGGGCGACGCGGAAGTGCGGCTCGCCACCCCCCCGCCCGCCCGGGGTCCGCTTCGATCCGATCGATCTGATTCGACATCCCATCGCTCCGATCTCGATTCGATCCAGTCCGATGTTCTGATTCGATGATGACTGATCGTGCCCCCTAGTGAGCCTGCGTCTTCCCCATCCCTTGTCAGCTCTCCGAGATCTGGACCCCGCGGAGGGGGCCAGACGGGGGGGGAGTCTCACACGCGTGGGGGGAGGATGGGGCGGTGGAGAAGGAGACGAAGTGAGGAAGAGGAATGAGGGGGGAGAGGAAGAATGATGATCATGAAGTGGATGGGTTCGTGGAGGAAGGGGAGGATGATGAGGAGAGTCGCAGGATAATGAGGTCGTGGAGGAGGAGGAGGAGGAGGAGGAGGACGAGGAGGGAATGGGAATGTGAATCATAATGGGAGTGGCCAACTACTCAGCGGCGAAACAAACATTCTCGCTCAGAAGACGATGGGCACCACAACTGGGCTGCCGCGGAAGATGTAGATGGGCAAGTGCCCACTATGCAACCTGGTCGACAGAGTTTTCAGACGGCACACGCCCGCATAATATGATGATTTGCAAGTCCGAAACATGCAGCACATCACCAGAGCCTACGCCATCCTCCCACCAAATTGAATGACAAATCCCTTGCGTTGCACGAGAAAGCCTCACCACGCAGAAGCCCCAGAGACGACCAGTCTGAAGCAAAACGCGGATGAGGATTGTGTACTGAAGTTGATGTACCATCAAAGCGGTACTATGCGCAATGATGAATCACAAGGCCCATTGAAGCGAAATAAATGTTGAGCGATACACACGACAATAACTATAACAAAGAACGCAACACTTAGCTGAAATGGTTCCAGCATTTGCACGGCAAGGCACGCACTCAGATTGTGCTTGTGCCCCACCCAGTCAAAGTATTGACGTCCGCCCAGGCCGCAGGGAGAATGATTCGCATGGGCTCGTAGCCCGCTGCACGTCCTAGTCCAACCTGCGGCCTGGGACGGACCTGGCCGAAAACGAGCAGGACGGGAACACATCATCAAGGGACTGCTTTGCCCGGGCCTTCGCGCGTGCCCCTCGAGCGCTACATGGAGGTTCGGGGCCCGACGCGAGGCGCACGGCGCACGGAGGAGAAGGAGGAGGGCGAGGCGGAGGAGGAGGGGCACACCGTGGAGCAGCGGGGGGGCCCGGGGAGCGCCCTGGAGAGCCCAGGCCGCCATGCACATCTGCGGTCTGGGCCCCTTGCGGGCCATGTGCAATGCGCACATGCACGGAGTTCGAGGGGACTTGAGGACAATCCACTTGAAGCCTCGCGGCGCGGTGGTGGATCTGCTACACTAGTACTGGCAGGGGGGACGCTCTGGAACACTGTCAGAAACCACGCCAAATAGCATACTCCCCCATCGCGTAGGCGCGGCAGCGGCGGTGCCGCCACAGGCCCGGAAAGAATCGATTATCGCTGTCATTCACAAGTCCGGCGATGCGGCCGATACAAAAAACAATCGCCCTATTACGATAGCCCCTGTCCTGTACAAGTTGTTTGCCGAGCTGCTGCACGCCCGGCTGCACCCGATGTTGAATGCACACCAACGTGAGGATCAAGTTGGGTTCGGGAACAATTTCAGCACGGCGCACCATCTATTCGCAGTGGCGATTTTGCAGGAGAAGTGTCGTGAAATCCAACAACCGTTTTGGATAGCCGCCTTAGATTCTCAAAGCCTTCGGCTCCGTCGAGCAGGGCAGCTTGTGGTCAGCGTTGCAACGACAAGGTGCGCCGATCGGGTACTTGCACCTCTTGCAAAACTTGTATTCTGGACAGACTGCAAGAGTACGCACCTACATAATGAGCAAGCAGTTCGCGATTCAGCGCGGCACTAAGCAAGGCGATCCTCTCAGTTCGCTGCTGTTTAACGCTCACTTGGAAGATGCCATGCGCGCTGTTAAAGCTAAATGGAAGCGCATGGCATGGGGGCTCAATAGTGGACAAGCTCGTTGGATCACTAATTTACGATTCGCCGACGACGTCTTGTTGATTGGCACATCATAGCACCAGGTCCAGAACATGCTCCAAGACATTCGCGACGCAGCTCGAGAACGAGGTCTGGAGCTCCACCCAGACAAGACGAATGAATATCTGGAGCAACGCTACGATGTGCACGGGGCGACCCAACGCAGCTGCAGCGAAGGTCGACGACATGAACGTCGAGATTGTTCCGTTTTCGAGTGCGAGGAAATACTTGGGACGACAAACTTCGTTCAGCAACACGCACGAGACGGAGATCGACCACATAATTTCCATGGCGCGGAAGAAGTTCAACATTCACCGGGCTGAGCTTACGAGCAATCAGTATTCCATCAATTCCTGACTTCGGCTTTTTGAAAGCACAGTCTATTCGACCATGTTGTACAGCTGTGAAGCATGGGTCCTGACCAATCCTCTGGAGGACAAGGTGCGGCGAACCCAGCGACGGATGCTCATAATGATCGTCCGCACACCCCGCAGGAGGCTGAATGCAGACGAGAACAGAGTTCATCCAGCGAAACCGCCGCAACCAACAGTTCCTCGAGCAGTCAGAGCAGTTGCAGCACTCACGTTGGCTTGGAGTCTTGGATCGATGGGGCGAGACGGGCGACCCGCAACGCAGAGCAGCGCCTGCAACGTCTTCAATTTTTCGATTGGATTTCTGCACACCGGTTTTCGGCTC